AACTTATTTTCAGTGAAAAGTACTACTTGTGGAATATATAAGAAGATTTTTTATCCTTATTGGCTGAGCGATAGCGAAGCCCGTTACTCCAGTGCGGTTGAAAAGTTTTGTCTGCCAGTGTGTGTCTGTGTGCCCGACTCCTCCTGAACGGCTCGGCCGATTCGGCTGAGATTTTGCAGGGTCATTAGGTATATCATTGGCTCGCCACACACCAAAATTCAGCTTTGTAACGCAATCCATTTGGTCATTTTAGCACAAAAACACTTAAAAACGGCAGAAAAAAGACAACTTTGTAGGTACGTACAACTTTTGGTCAAGTTTCATGTCGTTTCCTATGTTTATGTTTTTGAGGCTGCTGATGACGAAAATAGAACCCATTCGGACCCCAGACCCAAAGTTAAGTCCCATTAGTATAGATTTTGATGACAAATGCTATTTTTTGAGGGGATCACTGAGAATGAAAAAGTCATGATCAAAACTCAATTTTGGGCGAGGTATACTTTATCACCCAAATTTGGGCGAGGAAGGCTTCCTCGCCCAAAATGGGTGAGGAAGGGTGTATCAGCTACCCATCTGGCCCCATAGTATTATGACCCAAATTTGGGTAAGGAAACCTTCCTCACCCAAATTGGGCGAGGAAACTTTCCTCACCCAAATTGGGCGAGGAAACTTTCCTCACCCAAATTTGGGTGATAAAGAATTCCTCGCCCAAAATTTTAGTCATGATCATGACTCTTTCATTCTCAGTGATCACGCCCATTTCTACGGTCTGTCTCTCAAAGCAGCTTGCCGAAGGCAGTTTAGCGCCGCAGGTCAAGGTATGTGTATACGCCAAGCGTGGATTGACGAAACCGGCTCAGCGTCGCGAAGCCTGTTACGGCAAGACACGGTCTGGCGTATAGTCGTTCTACCGAAAGTTTACGAGGCCGAATGAACCTCGGCGTGGCTCTGGCCGCTTTCCCCTCCTGTCCCTCCAGCGCCTTTCGCCCCCACTACCTGCCCATTTGGACCAGCGCTAGAGGAGAAAGGCACAGCCCTCTCGGAAAAGTTGAGCTGTGAAAGCAATGCCAACTTGGCAAAAAAAAAAGTCAAAGTATCCCCATCTCCCCCTCCCCGACCCCTTTCTTGCTGTTGTTTGTTTGCAAAATATTATTAGTAAACAGAAACTGCATGTTGATTTGGTAGACGAAGGTTAACACAGACGTTATTCGTTTAGGATCCTGACTTATCCTTAGGATGACTGACTAGTTATGTGGCAAAATAGTTTTCTTTTTCAAATATGATTCTAAACCAGTTAGGGAACGTTGTAAAATGGTTATTTCACACAAGACTCTGTTCACAAGTTGAGCAGGGTTGCGATGGTTTTCTTCAGCAGCGTTAAAGTATTTCTGAAAAATATGCCCACTTGAATTGCTTTGGGCCTCTGAACTATTAAAGGTTAGCAAAACACTTATGATTGTAATGTCGAAATGTTTTCTACTGCTCCATTCTTGTTTGCGTTGTGATCAATATTGGCATTGGAGGGGTAATCTTGATTCGTCAAAGAAAATAGTTGCTCCAGCCATACTAGTGCGATTCTTGCTCTCGTGTGATTTCAAAAAAGGGCTTATCAGCTGTCATCCTGGAACGTATGTGAAACTTCAAGAAGTACGCCTATTCATTTAACAATTAACTGTTTTCCTTCCATTTTTAAATTCCCAAACCAAACCAGCTTGTCGAAACTCTGTAGTGTACATTGAACCACCTCAGTGATACTGAAGTGTTACTCAACTCAACTTTGAAAAATAAAGAAAATGTTCAAATTGACCTGTTTTCCAATATATCAGAGCATTCACCTCCATCATTCATTTCAACACAGAATAATAAGACTGCAACTGATAGTGACAGGATGCAAAAGATGGAAGGATGGGCACAAACAAAAACCAAATTACAAGAATAGTTTAAAGTTTATTTATTCGATTGATTATAATGCTCAACATTCATTTGGATCGTGTTAGCAGAAATAGTTTTGACATAAGCGTTTTGTAATAGACAATTAGGCAAAGAAGTAGAGGCTTGTTCATGAACTGCGGGAACTGTCTTTTAATTGGCTGAGCGATAGCGAAGCCTGTTACTCCAGTGCGGTTGAAAAGTTTTTTCTGTCTGTCTGTCTGTCTGTCTGTCTGTGTACACTACTCCTCCTGAACGGCTCGGCCGATCTGGCGGAGATTTTGCAGGCTTATTAGGTATGTTCTTGGCTCGGCACACGCGAAATTTCACTATCCTAGCTCAACTGGTTCAGTTTTTATAGCCGAAAAACACCTAAAAAACGGCGAAAAATCGAGTTTTTTGCAGGTAGATCACCTCTGTCTTGAAGAAAGGGGGATGTAGGGGGCGGAGCCCCCCAGCCTCGACAAGTTAGAAAGTGACGAGGGTCAAGATCGTGTTATCTGTAGATGAAGCAACTCTATCTAGAATTAAGGGGGGTCTGGGGGGCTAGCCCCCCAGCATGCAACACGTAAGAAGTATCCGACGATGGACAAGCCAATGCCTGCCGAAGGCAGGCCAGCGCCGCAGGCCAAGGTAGGTACGCCAGGCGCGGATTGGAGGAACAGGCCGCGAGACATCGCGAAGCCTGTTACGACAAGACGCGGTCTGGCGTTAACCTACCTTGTTTTAAGTGTGGTCAGTTTGCTTAAGGATGTGAGGAGGCCGCCAGTGGGAATCGAACCCACCACCAGGCCATCGCCAGGAACAGTTTACCCATCACCCACAACCTGGAGCAAATCATGACCAGAAATGGTTATAGATTTAAATACTTTTACCATTTGGAGTTCCTTGTGGGCAGTCCTACACTATTTATCTAAGAAACTGGCAGAAGGGTAGTGACATGCAATGGTGTTTGAGTGTTGCTCAAATTGCTCAAATTAAACAATGTGCCACACGAATACATGCATATCAATAACAATAACATTCCTTGTTTGCAAGGATGTAGCCCTGACCTTAGAAACAATGCCATTAACAGAAAAGACGAGATAGCAGGCTTGTTCCTGGACATGTCTAAAGAATCTGAATCTTACTGAAATAAAGCATTTGTTTGTGTAGACCACAAGAAACTTATTGAATTGGTTGAATAAGTTTTGAACTTATTTTATGAAAAAGTACAGCAGAGGGAAAGATTCAAAATTTATTTAGAACCCAAAAATATGCATTTAAAAAATTCTAAGATTATCAAGGACTGCCTCATGCAGAACGCCTTCTTAATTTATTCGATTGATTGTGATGCTCAACATTCATTTGGATCGTGTTCACAGAAATGATTTTGACATAAGTGTTTTGTAACACGTAGTCAAATTAGGCAAAGGAGTAGAAGCTCGTTCATGAACTGCGGGAACTGTCCTCTTATTTTAAAAGATAGTCAGTTTGCTTAGGGATGTGAGGATGCCGCCAGTGGGAATCGAACCCACCAGACCAGTCTTATCAAGACCAGGCCATCGCCAGGAACAGTTTACCCATCACCCACAACCTGTAGCATATCCTGACCAAAAATGTTTACATAGTTAAATACCATCCTGGAAAAATTCACCATAACAGTGATGTTCCTAGCCATAATGTCTGTAGAGCCAATGATACCCACAAATCTTTCTTCAGAGGAAAAATTGGTGACCACAATCCAGGCAACAGGGATCCATCTTCTTCAATAAATTGCCAAAGTTCATCAAAGACCTACAAAACGAGCCTATTGGATTTAAACTTCAACTCAAAAGGTACCTTATGGAAAACGAGCTCTACCTTGTTAACGAACTATGATTTTATATTTGACTTTTTTTTATATATGACTTTATATTTTGATGTTCAGTTTACACGAATGCTAGCGCTTTTGAAATAACACTACTGACTTCAGAATAGAATAAAAAGACCCACATCTCTGGACATTTCTGCTAAGACATCTGTTATATCATTTGTATTGTAAATATTTGTCATTATTACTGTTAAATGGTTTTCGATAAAATAAAAAATGAAATCAAACTTTAGTTTGTGCAATTTACAGGATACGTGATAGTTTCTTTCTTACTATATGTTACACCTCCTGACAATCCCAAATTCAATAATAAACAGACTATACTTTTCTAACTTCAGAAAAAAAACTCCATGGAATCCATGCATGTTAAAATAGATGATAAGATACCTCATGAAGTTATGAGCTGGGAAGTGATTTGAAAACAATTACATTCTGACTGCAAACTACGTTAAACACCTGTCAGGCCGGGGAATGTCCCACCGCGCGGTCTTAATTGGCTGAGCGATAGCGAAGCCTGTTACTCCAGTGGGGTTGAAAAGTTTTGTCTGTCTGTCTGTCGGTCTGTGTGTCTGTGTGTCCGCACTACTCCTCCTGAACGGCTCGGCCGATCTCAGTGAGATTTTGCACACTTCTTGGGTATGTCCTTGGCTCGGCACACGCGAAATTTCACCATCCTAGCTCAACTGGTTCAGTTTTTATAGGCGAAAAACACCTAAAAAACGGCGGAAAGTAGAGATTTTTGCAGATAGACCACTTCTGTCTTGGAAAAAGGGGGGTCTGGGGAGCGGAGCCCCCCAGCTACGACAAGTTAAAAAGTGACAAGGGTCAAGATCGTGTTATTTGTAGATAAAACAACTCTATTTAGAATGTAGGGGGGTCTGGGGGGCGGAGCCCCCCAGCATTCAACAAGTTAAAAAATAACCAACAACGGACAAGCCATTGCCTGCCGCAGGCAGGCTAGCGCCGCAGGCCAAGGTAGGTACGCCAGGCGTGGATTGGAGGAGCAGGCAGCGAGACATCGCGAAGCCTGTTACGACAAGACGCGGTCTGGCGTAAACCTACCTTGTAGTCGCAGGCAGGGGAAAACTTTTTCAAGTCCGACAGCAGGGGGCGGCGCGTGGCGGTGGCATCCCCTAATGTCGCTCGGTAGGTGGGTGGGTGAGTGGCACGTATCAATGCTTCAGTCAAGAACTGACACGCGACGGACACGGCCTTAATCTTAAAGGGACGTCCTTGGGGGAGGCACGGAGACCAGCAAGGCAGCGCTCGCGTCCAGATTGTAGTTGCTCGTTGAAGATGGAGCAAATGGAGCACGTAGCCCCGACCCCGGGGCCTCGGGCTTGCCAGGCACCGCCATGAAGACCGTCTTGTGGTGATTGTAGCAGCAGTGTCCCTGAAACACGATTTGAAATAAATGAAAAACTTTAACAGATGCTGCCTTCTATTCTGAAAATACACAAAATCAATTTTATTGATGGACACATGAGCTTGGGTAACCGACCGCCATTAAAGAAAGAAGAAGAAAAAAAGGGGGGGGGCTGGAAATTTGCATAGAGCTGATTGGTTGATGTCACTTGTCTTTTCAAGCCAGTTATTGCTTGTTGATCCATTTGACAGCAGTTGAGTTAGTGATTTGAGAAGATTTGAGATTTCGTGACGTGAAGTGAAAAACAGTACAGTGAATTGCGTTTAGTGAAGTGACCTAGTGCAATCAATCATGGGGCTTAGGGCTCGCAAAAACATTCTACAAAGGAAAAAGGCGGTGCGGGTGAATAAACCTATCGTGACCCAGGGCTGTGTGTCGAACCGAGGCCGAAGCTTCAACAGCCAGAGGCAGCAGGACATTTTGAATGCATACAACTATTTCAAGGTGGAATACCTAAATAATGGACCTTTACACGACGTCTCTGCATTCAGGTATGTTGTCTGTGTGTGGGCGAGAGAACGAGTGAGTGAGTGACTGAGTGAATGAATGAATGAATGGGTGTGTGCAAGAGGGGATCTTGAGACGGCAATTGTAATGTAAGCGCACTGCGGGTCAGACTCCTCGTTTTGTCCCTCTACCCGGGAGTAGATGCGGACAAAACGAAGGACCGAGCCCGGCCGGCCGATGCGGATTGGGCCGCCGTAATCCCTACCTGGCCGGCAGGCGACGGCAGGCACCGGCCGGCGAGGCGCGAACCGGGCCACAGTGGTGGGGATGACTCTCGGACAAAACGGAGGCCTCAGAAGTGGCACAAAACGAGGAGTCTGACTACCATGCAAACGATAATACTCACGTTTAGGCGTTGTCCAACGGCCGGCAATCCCATGCTCCACGACTTCGGTTGTGTTCCTGCGGCGAGCTCTCGATTTGCGTTCTGCGGTCCTTGACCTCCCAGTACACTAGGGTCCCGTTCTCACATCTAGTGGACAGTGGACAGAAATTGCATTACCACGCCTTGTTGACACATGTTTTGTTGAAAAAGCACTGAAAACTCATAAGGATTACGCTCAGACTACAAGAGGATTAATTAATGTTCTCTGATTCCCCTCATTACTTATGACATAATGTTCCTTTCAGAGAGCAAAGTCTCTGCGCTGAGCTTAAAATCAAGAAGTGACATTTGGGACCAAATATGTTTTATATTAGATTATTAGATTGACCGCTGGTATAAACATTAAACACTGAATTCCCATTCGTTTCTGAGTATTCAATGTTCGCGCAGTTTATTCACTTTTAGCGTGAACATTGTTAACTAATAAATGGATTGGAGTTGACGGTTCAAACTGCTAGTCTGAGTTCTCCTGTTAGTGAGCTAATTTTTAATATACAAATTGAAACCCTCTGATACACTTTACTTAGAAAAAGTGGAGAGGTAACTGACATCTTTTTTTTTTCCAACCGTTTGTTAAACGTAAGAGGGGACATATCAAACTACACCTCATTTCTCACCCCTGTGTTTTCATGAACTAAGTGAAATATCAACTAGGGCCTTAAAAGAGATGATGCGTAATGTTTTTGGAGACAGTTTTCTTGTAAAAACTCAACCTTGGGATGAGTCGACTTAGCTCACTCTTCCGCTCAGAGTCGCTAAACAGGACTCGAACTGGATGTGTGATCCCACCAATGGATTTCCTCGTTTGGAGAGCAATCCATTGGTGGAGTCACACGCTCGGTTCGAGTCCTGTTTAGCGACTAGAGCTCAAAACGCTTGTTGAGTTTTGGCCGCCTGTGCCGGTCTTCTGGCCCACTGTGCCCTGGAGATCCGGCCACCGCGACGCTCGAAAAGTCCACCGCGGGCAGCACGTCCGCGCCGTCGTCGTCAGCCCCGAGGATCTGTGGGCCGAACCGTTGGGTTGAGTGCAAATGAAAAATACATCTACCAGAGGACACGCACCGCTCCTTGCGGCGCGGACCCAAGAGTGAGACTGCAACGGCGACGTGGACGGCCGTCCTTGCCCGGGCAGGTCTGAGCGATCAGGGTCTCCGCCCTCGTGCGGCCCGGGCCTGCGTTGCGTTAAGGCTGGCCGACGGCCGCGGTACGGTGCTAGTCTTGGCCCCGTCCGAGGCCGCGGCGCCGGAGGCTTCCCTGGCGCGTAACTCTGCCGGGAACGGCACTCGCAGGCCGGCGCACAGGCTGGGTCTGTCCAGGCTGTCCTCGGAGCTGAGGGAAAGCCCTGGAGGTCCCGGCGGCGCAGCGGCGCGGCCAGCAGGTCCCCCTTTGATGCGGGCGGCGGCCGCGCAGCAGGGCGGGGCTGCCGGTGCTCAGGGCGCGAGGCGACGTCGGCGTGCGCAGCGCGGCCATTCAGCGCTCCGTGTCCGTGTCCGAGCGCGTGGCCACGAACACCTCGGCCTACTCGGCCGACTCGACAAGCGCGGCGATGACGAAGGCGTGGCATGGCACCGCGAGCGCGAAGCTGTGCGGCACACCGAGGCGCGCGACCTCGGACCCACGGGCACTCGGATCACGGCTGTCTGAAGACCGAGGCGCGCCGAGCTCAGCACCAGCTCCACGGCCTCAGCGGGGGTGTCCTGGAGGGCGTCCACCATGAGCCGCGCCTGCACCCAGTGGCGCCGCCAGGACTGCAATAGTGGGGGAGTCAGACACAGGGGCACCCCAACGTCCACGCGAACCTGTAGGATTAGTTCAGGACAGTCTGACATGATGACAGTGAAGTAACAATAACAAGGTTTAATACAGTGGACGAACTACCTAGCCGACCGACGACAGGTTGGCCCGCGCAGGCAGCACCTGATCGGTGGCGACCAGGGGCATCTGATTGTCGGGGAGCGCGCTGACGCGCGCGGGGTTCGAACGGTGGCGCAACGTCGCCACACCGCCTTCCTTGGAGAAGGATGCACCAGGGGTTTAGCGCTCGGCGAAGCGGACGTGGCGCCCGGAGCGAGTCACCACAGGCGCCGGGCTGGGCGGCGCGGTGGGTTCCCCGCCTGCAGGCGGACGCTTGGAGGGTTGCCGGGGTGGCCCGGCGTCGTCGTCAGCCAGAAGGAAGGCGGGCTTGGCCCGATTGAAGCAGACCGTGGGATGCCTGCCCTTGATGTCCATCTCGACGGTCTTGGCGTCCCGCCTCAGGACGCGGTACGGCCCTGCGTACGGGGGCTCCAGGGCGCGCCGCGTTGCATTGGTGTGCTGCAGGACGTGGGTGAAGTCTGCAAGTTCCTGAGGACAAACACATCGCGGTTAGCATGGCGAGACGCGGGCACGGCGCGCACTTTACCTACGTGATGGCGGAGCCGTCCGAGCAGCACGGTGACGTCGTCCTTGATGGGGATGACTAGTTCGCCGGGCAGGCGCAGGGTTTCGCCGTAGGTTAGCTCGGCGCCCGTGCACGCCATGTCGTCCTTGAAGGCGGTCCTGATGCCCAGCAGGACGAGCGGCAGGGACTCGACCCAGGACTCGTCCTCGTGGCACATGATGGCGGCCTTGAGCTGGCGGTCTCGCTCCACCAAGCCGTTGGCTGCAGGTTGCCAGCTCGTGATCAAGTGGTGTTCCACGTCGAGGCGCTGCATCACGACTGGAAGAGGTGCGACGTGAACTGCGATCCGCGGTCCGTGGTGAAGCGGACAGGGACTCCAAAACGCGCTACCCAGCAGAACAAGAAGGCCGAGACGACGGTCTCGGTCTCGACGTCGGGGATGGGGCACGCCTCGGACCAGCCGGTCCACCTGTCCACACAAGTCAAGCAGTACCTGAACCCCTGCGACACTGGAAGTGGGCCCACGATGTCCATGTGCACGTGCTCGGCGTCGTGAAGTAGGCGAGGGGGGCGTTGACGTGCCGGGACACCTTGTTGCGTTGGCAGCCGACGCATGCGCGCGCCCAACTGCGAACTTCCTTGCTAACGAAGGGCCAGACGAACCTCTGCGGCACCAGCTTGAGGGAGGCGCGAACGCCGGGGTGGCTCAGGCTGTGGAGCTGCTCGAACACTCAGACAGAAAAGTCACGGCCTCTCCGCCCCGAGAATTGTTTAACAAGGCTCCCCCCCCCTCTTGTGGCGCACCGGGCAGCTGTCCGGGATGGTGCGGTCGTTGAGGGCGCGGTGTCATCGCAAGGAGGCCACCCTTCACCCTTCGCCGCGAGGTGAAAGGGCGAGGACCACGGGCTGGCTGTCCGACGGGCGGGCCACGCCGGTGGCAACCTCGGGCGGGAGCAAGGCGGCGCCAACGGCAGGACACGGACGGACCGTCGGTGGTCCGATTGAAATGCTGCGTATAGTGTGTTTCGCGACGCGCGGAACACCAGCAGGGCAAGTCACGTCCGGGCGGCCGACGTGGCGGCCGGCTTGGCGGCGCCGGCGGCGGGAGGCGACACCGCGGCGCGGGACCGCGAGCGTGACCGGGTCTCCTGAGGGAGGCCACCTGGTCGGTAAGGGCGGCCAGCCGCCGCTCCAGGGCGGAGAAGTCCAGCGCCGGGGGCGCGGGGGTCGGTGTCACCTCGGCGATCTTATCTGCGAGCTCGGCGAGCTTCTCCAAGGGCACGTCCGCCTGGACGGCGAGGATGCCCTGGACGTGGACTAGCAGGCAACAGAGCCATAGCTGGCGTAGAAGGTTCTCCTGTACTGGCGATGTACCGGCAAGAGCCTTCAGGTGGCGCAGGAACTGGGACGGGCAGCGGTCCCGGTACCTGCATTTAAAAGAAAATATTTTTTTTTTCGAAAGTAAATTTAGTTTTTGGCGTTTTTGGGCTGTGTAGCTCACCAGATGGTGTAGTTCTGCTTGTAAGGGAGGGTGGGGCACCATGACCACTGGGGCACCATGACCACCCCCCTCGCTCTCGGGAACTACTTTGCCGACGGCAACCGGTCGACCGGACTTTCGAGAGAATAGAATTCTAACTATTTTCAGCCAGAGCCCTACCTTCTAGCTTCAAGGGTACGACCATAGCACCTCGCCAAAATTTTTGTTACAGCGTTTTGGCTAAATTGGGCGTTTTTCAAATCTGGGATATTTTTTCTCACTCTCACATTTGAGAAGATAGGTTCGATGTCTTAGGTTTTTCTCAAAATGTCGGCTCTTCGGCAAAATATCCAACATCACATTTAATTCTAAGTAGTTGTTTGCTTGCTCGGGGAGCCTTAGAGTCGTAAACTGCACTGTGGCGCACCATGACCACTTTTTAGTGGGGCACCATGACCACACATATTTGAGTGTTTTTTCTCATATTTTGGCCTGATAATGATTTATTTTCGTCGAAAATTTGCTTTTTGCTTCTGAAAATGTATAAAGGTTGAATAATTGCTGCAGAATAGATAGTTTTATCACAAATTTGTGATAATTTGTGAATCACCAAGATGATTAAGAATGGTTCTGAAACTGAGACTTGAAATGGTGGTTTCTCTTGCACTAAATGAGCTCCAAACCGCAAAAGTTGGCCGCGAAGGCGATCCGTGGCTACTTTGCACCAAGATGGCTCTGGCATTATGAGAAACAGCATTTAATTCACTTGTTTGCAGTGTAGTAACCGCGATAATTTTCTTAAAATTTACCAAATTGAAATTTGCATACGAATTTGGACTCGTCTTAGCAAGACAAACATAAAATGTTAACACATGTCATAGCTTTGGATGTGAAATTTGAAAGCCTTAGAGCGTTAACTGTTTTAAACCGTCCATTTCAAGGCATCTTAGAACGTTTGATACTTCGAAGGTTTTTACAGTGTTTTTTAGTTTAGTTGACTGGCCTGATGGTAATGACAGCGATATAAACAATTTCAATGAGAATACTGGTAGAAAGTACACTTTTTTGGGCCAAAAAATTACTATGGTCATGGTGCCCCACGGGGTGGTCATGGTGCCCCATAGGTGGGGCACCATGACCACTTTGCGTTTTATTTTCCAAAGTGTTCTGTGAGCCTGCCGTGCATTGCAGACAAGTTCCAATGGGTGGAAGAGGTCCTTGGAGGTCCAAAGAATCCCCTCATGCTAGAAACTTAACTGTTCGAACCACACGGTGGAGTAGAGGGAGGCACAAAAAAAAAGTGGTCATGGTGCCCCACCCTCCCTTAGTCGAGGCCGCCGCTGTAGCCGGGCAGCCAGGTGAGCGTGATGGCGAACTCGGACGCGTTGCCGGGCATGTTGTGCGGCGCGTGCCTTCCACCACCAGCTGCGTCGTACCGTGAAACGGGGTAATTTCGGACACTCGGTGTAATTTCGGACAACTCTGCCCGGAAGCATTGCGATGATGCTCCCACCTAACGGCCAACTTGGAGGCTTGTCCCGTTGCGCGCATCGCATCGGCCACACTTAAAACCATCTGATCAATCACCCGGAGGCCATATCAGGGGCAAACTTCAGGAGAAAGAGTGGTTTTTGTATTTCACCATTTTTACCTAAATTCACTTTATGCGTAAAAACTTTGTCTGGCAAGCCGAAACTGTTCATGACTGGTTCATGAGGTGATTGTTTGTCGATTCGATCATGTTAAGAGCATACTGTGTCAAATTTTCAATCACCTGGGTCAAATGGTATGGTTTATATGGGCTCAAAACTGAAAAAATGTTACTTTACGGGGTAATTTCGGACATACAAACGTCACGCCAGGGAGAGTGGGTATGCCCTGAACACTTCCAATTTCGCAGGGTTTAAGTAGTGGAAGCTGAAGAGCTCTTCTGAAAGTTCAAGATAATCCAATAACAACGATATTTCCCAATTGCTACAGCGGTTGCTTTGTAAACTTCGAATTTCATAAAAATGGGGCAAAGCTACATCTTTAATATTTAGTTTTATGTGCATATCCTACGTTAGTGTCAACGACTGTTTTGTGATTAATTTTCTTTCATGTGACATGAGAGTTGGACTTGGCGAATGGCTGCATAGCTCGCCGGTTTACCATGCAAAGCTTTCCACTGAGCCCCTGTATCTTCCTAACCGTACATACGACACGACTACTTGCCTTTCATATTCATGTATGTGATCGTATGCAATCTTGTAGAGGCAGATATAAGATTCACTTTCGCGTAATAAAGTATGGCCCGAGTTGCCTAAGGAAGCTAAGCGGTCAAAGATTAAAAAATAGAAGCGTTCTAAATGGCTCTACTAGTTCCACATTCCTGAAATCGAACTACATATGAGTGCAAAAACATGACTTCAAATTATGTATGAATGACCACCCCTACCTTACCTTTACATCTAAACCCTTACGAATTTGTCATATAATCATATTAGCACTTAAGAACGAGACAGTGATCGATTATGGGACCAAAATCGGAACGAAAAGTCGTTTTTTCCAGGGGTGTCCGAAATTACCCCAAAACACGGGGTAATTTCGGACCCCTGCCGGACCCTCCACTGTAAAAACGGTGAGGTGCAGATATTTGAAATAAGCGCCAAATCGAAGCTAAAGGTGGGTAGATGATAAATTTTAACCCTCAAGTCCATGACAGCACCGCGACTTTCACAATTTCAAAAATTCCAATGCTAACGCATTGCACGGTGTTCCGGGTGTAGGAACCAATTTGAAGTCTGTCGTCTAAACGTTGATCACGTTAAGGGGGCACACCAGGTCCGTGAAGGTAGCCCGCCCACACACAGCCTGCAACAAATTTCCTTCTGCAATCGTTAGTATATCGTTAGTACATGATTGTAGACCCAATGCGGCCGTTAGTATACAACCCAAGTGCGTTTTAAAAAATACCCAGAAGGCGGGCCACATTCACATGTTCAGTTTTTCCCAAAAAAAACGTGCCAAAAGGGGAAAACGTCCTAAAATCGTTAGTAGACGTTAGTAGAGGCCATCTCGTCACTATCAACATCATTCACTATCACCACGGCCGCAGCTTGCACCAGCGAGGCCGGGCCAGGTTCCAAAAAGCAAATACTGATCAAAAAAACACAAAAGAAGTTTTTTTCCCGTTCAATTCGTTAGTAGACGTTAGAAGAGGCCATATGGTCTCTATCAACATCATCACTAACACAGAGAACGTGGTATTGCTTTAGTGAGGCTAGGCCAGGTTCCAAAATGCTAATACCGATCAAATGACACCAACAAAGTCTTTGTTCCGTTCAATTGCGTTAGTAGACGTTTGTAGAGGCCATATGGTCACTATCAACATCATCACTAACACACCGTTCGTAGTATTGCTTAAGCGAGGCTGGGCCAGGTTCCAAAAAGCAAATACCGATCGAAAAACACCAACGAAGTGTTTTTTCCGTCCAAAAGCGTTAGTAGACATTAGTAGAGGCCATATGGTCACTATCAACATCATCACTAACACACCGTTCGTAGTATTGCTTAAGCGCGGCTGGGCCAGGTTCCAAAAAGCAAATACTGATCAAAGAACATCAACGAAGTGTTTGTTCCGCCCAAAAGCGTTAGTAGACGTTAGTAGAGGCCATATTGTCACTAAAAACATCATCACTAACACAGAGAACGTGGTTTTGCTTTAGTGCGGCTGGGCCGGGTTTCCCAAAAAAAGCTAATACCGACCCAATAACCAACGAACTGTTTGTTCCGTTCAATTGCGTTAGTAGACGTTAGTAGAGGCCATATGGTTACTATCAACATTATCACTA